TAATCTGTTCCCTGTGCCGGAATATAATCTCTGCCAAACTCCCAAATTTTCAATAAAACTCTTTTCTAAATAACTGCTTTGTGACAGATGTTTTGGAGAAATCAAAACAGATACGAGAAATGGGCTCAAGAGACATGATGAAAGTGGGGTCTAAAAGAGTCAAACAAAGAAGTGAAATAAGTTGTGAGTGAAAGAAGCACGAACTCCATAAAACTCCTCAGAATTATCTGGGAAAGAAACTGTTCCCAACAATAACAGACTGGGGCTTTAAAAAGGATGAAGAATCCACATAACCTGGTAGGCCTCATTATACCCAGCTAGATTACACCCGCTCAAGAGAGGAATAGGTAAAACAAGAAAGATATTTAAAAGCATACTTCAGACCTAACTCTTTAAGGACAATAAGAACTGAAGAACAGAGAATACAGAGATTCTGGATATAGCTAATAAAGTGAATGAAGTTCCAAACCCAGGAATGAGGATGGCCTGTTGAAAGAATGGTGTAGAAATTGGCCTATTTGGAACACAGACTACCCAACTGGCAGGCAATGGCATGTAAGATTAGCCAAGTAAAGTGAGACCAGGTTAAGGAAGGCTCTGAAATTCAGGATGAGAAATCTGAACTTTACTTGACAAGCACTGATGGGAAAAGAAATCGCTTTGTTCTGTTTGTTTATCTAAGATAACAAAATACTATGCCAGTGTAGACTGGTCCCTTTCCCTGCCTTCTAAAATTAACCCACTGATTTCTCACTACCCAGTTCATATTACATAGTCTCGGGGACACAACTATCACTTTTATGAAGATAAGGCCTCTATTTATGTTGTACTAATCCCACACACACAACTGTCTACATATCCATCACTCTTAAAAGTTCTCATCACTCATCCAACTTTATAAACACTGAGTATCTAGCCCATGATATAGACAAACTGGAGATTTAAAGATGACTCAGTCCCAGTCCCCAAGAAACTCAGGGTTTGACGCAGGCAGAGCCAAAGAAACAAATCAGTACAACACAGAGTGGTAACTGCAACAGTGGAGGAATGCTTAGAGTGTCATGAAAGGAGAGGACACCTTCATCAGTTTGGAGACTGGGGAAAGATGAAAACACCTAAGACAAAGTGCTGACTGAGCTGAGTCTTGAGAGAAAATAAATCTCAAAGGCTGAGAGTGACAGTGACTACAATTAGAGTGAAAAAGCTGGGCAGGGTCTGTCATACTCAGAAACAAGTTCATTCCCATGGCTGGCTGAGTAGAAAAAAATAGCCAAGGACCAAATCATGAATGCGAGAAGTCTGTATTCTGAGGTGAAAGACTTTTAAGAAGAAAAGTTACAATCATGTAAATATTGCTTAAAAAGAACTCCAGTGGCAGTGGAAAATGGATTGAAGAGCATTACTAACTTTCTTCCTATTATACCTGGAACAAAAAGCTGACAAAGGCTGCTGTAACACTCATCTTATCTCCGGTTACTCATTCCCATCCCCTTCCTAGGCTTAGCTCACATCCTTCATAAAGCCTCCCCTAACTCTTCCAATCACATTAATCTCACTGTTGTCAGAACTTCTAAGACATGTCTCTCTATACCTTCATTCTGCCATAACCTTGTTTTTTTAACTACTTTCTGTTTAAATTTCTTCTCCCTAACAAGAATGTAGGCTTCCCGAGAAAAGATAAATCCTGTAATATAAGTCTGAAACAGACACTTCCTTTGAACTGAATAAATGGCTCTCTTCATCCATAAACTCTACTTCTTCCCATAAGTAATAAACAAAATAAAATGTATAATAAACTCAAAAAAGCACAACAGTGAGGGTTAGACATGAATGAATGAATACAAGGGAGCTTTCTAGGGAGATTAAAATATTCAAACACAGAGTGTGTTATACAAATGTGTCTATTTGTTTGAAAAAAATGTACAACTAAGATTTGTACATTTCAATGTATATAAATTTTACTTAAAACCTATAAAAATAAGGAATGAAGAACAGGTGGCGATAGATGAAAAAAGAATAGCAGGATGTTGGTACTTCTTGGGTAAAGTGTACAGGTGGTCATATTTTCTATTTACTTTGTAAATGTGAGAAATGTTCTATATTAAAAGGATACCTACACACACCAGATTTAACTAGGTGGAAAAATCTACATTAACAAAAATTTAAAATAACTCAGAATATTAAATTACTAATTCTCCTTACGTGTGGGACAATGCTACATAACTTTTAAAATGGTTTTATTAGTTCTATCGCTTATCCAATTCTGAAAGAACATATATTTTAAGACTAACCTAACAATATAGACAAAAGAAGGACAAGCAGTCACAGGTTCCTTAACGCAGAACCAGATATTAAAATGTATTAGTCTTGTTAACAACGACAGCCAAAAGGCCAGTGAAAGACGAAGTCAGAACTGTCTTTAAGTTTATTTATTTATGCCATAAGCAAGAAAGACAAAGAGAAAACATTCCCAATGGTCTTGAAGGCGCCATCGACTTCCAGTCTCCAGGAGGCCGGATCACGGGCCTGCACGTGCCTGGCATACTCAGGGATGTCTCCGGACACGTGGGTCAGCTGCACAGAGCATCATGTTTTACCCACTGTGCCATTGTCTGGCCCCTAAAGTTAGAAATTTTTCATCTTCAAACGGTGATACCAAATGTAGTGACTGAAAGGTAGTCGTTAAGATTCTGAAAGTATGACATCTGCAGAGACTCAGCGCCATTCTTAATGGTTTTAACATAGTTCAATCATTTTATCTCAGTGATTTAAACTTCACATTTCTCTGCTTATCATCTGAATTTTCCTCCAACACAATATTTAATATATAAAAGATATTCATTACTAGTCCCAACACAAAAAATTAATGACAATCTTTTGTTCAATAGTTTAGCTGCTGCATAATTTAATCTCCCCAAAAGTTCACGAAGTTTCTCAAGAAGAGATTTGGAAAACAGACAGCTAAAACTATTTGGTAAGACAAATTCTACTATACTACTTGACTAGTATTGCTACTATCTCCCATTAGATTATGCTTCAAATTTCCCTTACTCAATAACCTATGGTATAATACATCTCTACAAGACTAATTTTGGGTTGTGACTGGAAGGGGGCATGAAGAAAGTTTCTGGGTGCTGATAATATTCTGTTTCTTGAGCTAGGTGCTGATTACGCAGGCATGTTCAAGTTGAGAAAATTCAACTACACTTATACATATGTTCCTAGGTGTATATGATACACCATTAAAAAAAAAGTTTTATAGAAAATCATGGAAGTGAGGTCATAAGGTGGTGGCATGGCGGTTAAGGTGCTAGATTCCCACATGGCCAGTCATGGTTTGAGTGCCAGACCTCACAGCTTAAAAATCACGCAGGGTGTGTGTGCACCAGATGTGTGTGCATGCAGGCCCAAAATGCCAAGGGGAGAATAGAGAAGGAACTGCGCCCAGGCCATCCCCCCTGGGGTGGTGATTTCTGACTTTCCCTCTCACTGTCTCTATCTTTCCAGTGAGCTAATGAGCCCTAAGGCAAAAAACTAAAGAAAACAAATCAGTAAAGTAATGGAGAGCTGTTAGAGCTGCACTTCAGAGTCCCGCTCCCCATATTAAAACATTTGTTCTATGCACTGAAAAATTTATCTCCAAAAATGTAATTCGTTAAAGCATTTAACATTTTCTACTAACATTTTCCCAAGTAACAGGTAACTTTCACCACCAACTGGGAGCTCAGAAAGCACACACTGCAAGAATTATTTTACATTTTCGAAAATTAATCCTCTTAAAGGCAAACTTAATAGAAAAAAAGTGAACAAATACTGTGCTGTCCACATTATGATGTAAATCGTTTTCAACTTCGTAATCAGATTTACAAAGAAAAAGAAAGGCCACTGCTTCAGACTTTAGTAATATAAAGAAGATAAAAGGCCAGAAAGAACTTTGTGGAAAGAGGACTGTGACCTAGAGTCCACCTGTCAGTTCTTTAGTACAAATTCTACTACTAATTAGATATTTAAGGGAAATCAAAAGCAAGAGGCAAAGTATCTGACCAGAGGGATGAATGAAATCAAATGTACGAAAGCAAGTATGTCAAGATTTAACATGAAATATCTAATGACCGGCAAGAATGCTTAGGAAGTGATATTCTTTGATTCAATGCTGAAGTGTCGCCCAGCAAATAAAAACTGTTATGCTGTAATCCCACAAGTATACCTAAATTCTCTCTCTTCCTTTTTCTAATCTTAGAACCTCCCAAGTTAAATCTAATCATTAAAATTTCTTTGCTGCAGAAGCAATGGAGCGTAATTAAAAAGGACCTCCGTTTCTCGCGTAAAACACACTTTCACCTACAGAGGCAAGGGGAGGGAACCTTGTTCCCCAAAGATCACAGAAGCGATTCAGTCATGCCAGGTCGTTCAACGATCTACCCACGGAGGATCCCTTCAACAGGCAATCGTGCCAGGAGAGCCACGATAGTTCACAAGAAGCCCCTTGGCGATATTCAACAGCAATCACTCGAGAATCGAACCCAACCTCGTTCAAGTGACTCAGACCACGGTGTTCAGCCTGGCAAATCCAATCCCATCCTCAAATCACCCACCCACGTCCAATGCCTGGCAAGTCCAATCCGCATTCTCAAATCACACATCCACGTCCACGGAACAAACCCTTCACTGTAGACAGCAAACTAGCACACGCCCAGAAAGTTGATTCAGAAAGAGGTGGTCTGGCAAAGGAGAGGGCATGGCGCTCCGCTCTCCCGCCCTCGACCACAGGCATGGGTGGAAAGACCCGCACTCTCGGGGGCAGAGAGCGAGGCCGGGCAGGAGGACGCGGAAGCCGGGAATACCCGGACACCCCGACATTGCAGCCTGGCAGCGGCCACGGCCGGCCCTCTCTCCGCCTGACCCCGCAGGCAGAGACCCGACGGCCAGGATCCGGGGAGGGAGAGCTCCAGCGGCGCCTGCTCGGCCCGGGAAGGCGGCGCGGCCACCGGCCTTCTTACCCATGCAGGCCGAGAGCGCGGCGCCGTTTGTGGAGCAGGCACAGCAGCAGGA